GGAAAATCGATCAGTTTCATTAGCCGCTTGCGCCATCCCGCTACCGAAAGCATCTCATAGTATATTAGGCGAGTGAAGGGGCCTTCGGAGAGTGGGGCGGTGTTCCAACAGTACAAGAAGCATTGAAGGATGTCAAGTCTGCATTACGATACTTTGATACAGAATCAGGTATGGAAAGACCACGAATTTTGAAGAAGTATCTAGAGAAATTACTAATGAAAAAGTATAAAGCGAACAATAGAAAATATATTTTTTTAAGAACAAATAAGGATATTGAGATTTTCAGTTCGTATTGTTAATATATTTGCTGAATTTCTATATTAACAAAATTAAACGTTATGGATTCTATTTAATTTTGACATCATATTATATAGTGAATCTCAGATATGAGAAAAACGTTTATTCCCCAGATCACTATAACCGGATTTGACCGTATTTAATTTTTTGATGGAAATATGCCAAAAGACTTTGTACATTTATTGTTATTAATGTAGCTTTTATATTCAATGATTGTTATTCAGAAGTATAATCGATTCTTTTCCTCTTTTCGTTTATCATTCTTACATAAGTTGGACAATTTTGGCTGTTGCTTCAGGATCAGTCAAATGTCCGACAATTTTAGTCTTCTACTCTTGTCTTCACAGTTCACACATTCTTTATTTCATTTGCATCCTCTTGGTCATGATTCTACAATTACTGCTCCCTTATTTCCTTTCTTTATTTTAGTTACACCCAGGGGGAGTTTATTAATATTAACATTCTCCCTAAGAGTTTGTTCCGTTATATTAGTATCTTGATGTATTTTCGGTGTTATTAGAATTGCTTTTTTCTTCTTGCTCTTTCGGCATAAGTTACTATTTGGGACTCTTTCTTTTGGAATAAGCCACTATGGACTACGCTTATTTCAACATTCTGGCTGTTTCTGCTTTTCTTTGTTTCCATAACTCTTTCATTCTGGCCCAATGTTTCTCTTTCCTCTTCTAATTCCAAATGGCCCCAGTTTTCTTTTTTGGCTTGTCCTCAAATCCTTGGAATTTCATGAGTTTGGTTCTCATTGAAAACCGCTCAGTAATATCTGCTGGTGTAATTTTGAACTCCTTCAAGTCCTCCAAATGACTCCTCAATATTAATAATTAATTTTTTTAATTATTTCTGGCAACTGTACAATACTTTTATATTTATATCGTCAAAAACTACTTCTCTGTCAATTTCTTTCAATTTATGTATACTTTGCTATTTATTTTTAATTTCAATGATACGAATTATTAAATTAATTTGCTTTCTAACGTAATGCTTCCACTTCAATTTCCTCCAACATTCATATTTCTATCATTTTCAACAACATACTTTTCTCTATCCCCATCACAATTTAAAAGCTCATCTCTACTATCGAGTTTCTTACTGCAGCTACTATGGAAGTATTTCATACATTTCCTACAATAGATGCCTTTTGCAATTATTTATTTCTTGTACAATTATAAGGTATTTACTCGAGGGATGTTTTTTAGTAACCCGCTACCGTGACTGCTTTTCTTGGATTCTTCATTGAAAATAACCTCGGCGAGTCATTCAGTGAAGTGATTGGATTACTGAAATTAGTTGCTACAATTCCCATGACATCGGAAGCAGAATGATGTTTTTTTCAACTTTGAAGCAAATCAAGAAGATCCTCAGAAGTGCAATGAGTAAGAAAGCACTGACTATTCTTGCCATGTTATCTGTTAAAAAGAACATAATAAATGAAATTAGAGACTTCAATGAGAAAGTAATTGATATATTCGCGGACTAGAAAGAATGGACTTCCAGTTCAAGCAGCATTGCTGTTGATGTATCTGCATCATTATCAGGATTTTTACGTAAAGTTCTGTACAGGAGCTATTTTTTTCTCTTCCAAAAAGAATGAATTTCAATATTAAGTAAATATTTTATAATCTATATTATAACTATTTTTCAAATGAGACTTTTGTAATTGCTTATATTATCTTAGACGATTGGCGTTCCTGAGTTTTAAAGTTATAATCCTTGTGAACCCTCTGTGATTAAGAGCCGCCACTGTCAAGAACTCACAAGAAATTAATTATTACTACACAACGAGTACTTATATAGTGTAAGTAATTTACTATATATAGGAAGAAGAGTTATCCACTTTTTGTTATCAGACCCAGGTAGCAAGAATTTTTCTCGACTATTAGAACTTTCTATAGAAAATTCTCCGTTTTCCGACGCACGATTACAATACTTTATCTTTTAACGAAGTAAGGGCAAGAAAGTAAAAATGTAAAGGACAACACAATAATAATGAATTTTATTACTTTTTTGGAGTATGCACGGCAATGTATACAACTTCGATATCTGTTGGAAAGGTTGGAGCATCAGAGATGTCAAACTACTAATGATTTTGAAGGGTTTGGTTTCGGCGTTTCTTCATTCGAATAAAAAATGTAACTGAGGAATTAAATATGCACCCACTCAAACTCGCTTCGCAAAAATCGCAACTCACTAAATACACGGAATTGCACAGAAATAGCTCGAGAGTGTTGTGACATCACACAGAGTGTGGTGACAGTAAAACGCAACATATATTTATCGATGACAAATTGGATTTATTTGTACTCTGCTGCATAAAAAATATTAAATTTTGTTTAAGAGTAATTGCATTTTCATCAATAACTACGAGAAGAGGCAACATTGAGGCATTTTAAAAAAGGCATTTAATTGAAAAACATCGCACTACTTGATACGGACGCGATCTTGCGACATCTAACGGCAGGACCGAGAAAGACGCGGAATACCGCGAGAGATTCGATCGTGAAGATAGGCCCTGACGCGCCATTTTATAAAAACCAAATGATAGGAGAATAGGAGTGTTACAACCGAATTTTATGGTGCCTACACCGAAAAAAAGGAATGCTTGCCGTAAATAGGGTTCACGTTTCTGAAAATGGGGAACTTTAAACTCAATTTCACAGAAAACTTTTGTTCTCGAGAAACTTTATTTGACATCATTTAAAGCGCATGTTCTCATAAATGCAATAATGTGAACAAATCGTCTCTGATTTTAACAACGTGAGAGACAAGTAAAAAAAAATACACTTTTGTATTTTTTTTGAAAAACAAAAGAATATTGCTAAAATGCCTGTATGACATCTTGAGTGCATTTGGCACTATCTATAGCAAAAGTTTAAAAAAATGTGACGTTTTTTAGAAAATCTTGTTTTTTATATTGCACATATTGCAAGCAGTGTTGGAAAAAATAGTAATATTTTCAAAAAAAATGTACATGACCTTACTGAAAGAACACTATATATAGAACAAATTTCATTTGAAGGAAAAGCCAAAAAATCAACCGTTTGTCATTTCCGAAAATTCAGAGTTATCAGTAAAAATCGGGCATATGAGTGTACAATTTTTCTCTATACTTACTAGAAATTTAAAGACAAAATTTGTAGCCATTTTTGAGGAAATTTTGAAAATGTCACAGGAGCTTCGTGTACAGTACCTTCAAAATTAATGAATGATTTTCAAAATCGCAGAGCTCCGACTCTGGCTAGAACGGCAGGGGTTTCTTCATTTTGGAAAAAAAATCGTACTCATAGTTTAGATGCTAGTGTTGTCCACATACACCGGACAGAAGGACGGATGGACGTTTTGAAAAAAAAACAAAAAAAAAAAACAACAACAACACTATTTCGGTATCAGGGGGCCCAATACGTGCATTTTCGTTAAAATCTCGAAATCGGTTTTCCGCCGCATTACATCACTTTTCATATACTACGTATATTACTCTTTCGAAAAATTAGGATTTTCAACGATTATGGGACTTGCACCATTTTCTTAAACGTTCTTTACACTATCCAACAACAATTTTAATAAAAAACGATGGAGCCATTTTTGAAAAAAATAAATAATATTAGAAATTGCATATATTTCACACAAAATTACGAGAAAAATAATCAAATTTTTCAAAAATTGTGCATGACCTTACTCCAAAATATACCTTGAAGAAATATATTTTTTTGTGAGAACAAAAGTCTCTATCTTCATAATTGTAGTTGTAGGATGACGACGAAAACATTTGTAATTGTCCAAAGATTACAGTTTCAACCAAAGTGAGACCTGAACCATTCTCTGCACGTTCCTGCACGTTCTTCACACTATCCAACGACAAAATTTAATCAAGCCATTTTTCTGAAATTGTCCCAGGGGCTTCATGTAAAGTACCCCAAAATCAAAATTTATATTTCAAAGCCGCGACATTAGCCAGATCTATTGATGAATATCAATTGGAGAAAATTGACTGAACGGATTAATGGACAGACGTTTTGCCGTCAAATGATTTTTCGGTATCAAGGAACCAACAAAACATGGAATATGGCTACACATCTTATTAGAGGACTTTCTAAATTTAGCAACTGGATTTATCCACCTTTTAGTTACCAGGGTCTTGTAATACGAAGGCGAACGTGAGGCGAACGTGCAATTTTCACGCAGCATTACGTCTTCTACTGAGTAAGCGATAGCGAGAAAGTATTTTTTTTTTTTAATTCTTGAAAAAATAATAGAATAGAGTAATATGGTGTTTATGTCATCATATTGAGAACATTTAGAATTATCTCTACCAAAATATAAAGAAAAATGTTGGGGCCGTTTTTAAGAGAATCTTATATTTGTTGGAGAAAGAATTCGAAAACTTTCAAATTTTTACACTTTTCGAAAATTCGACTTATCAGTTAAAATCAAACATATGTCTTGACAAGTGTATTTTGTCATTATATTGCAAGAAATTTAAAGAAAACATTTGGAGCCATTTTTTCGAGAAAATTTTGAAAATATTCTTGGGGCTTAATGTAAAGTACATCCAAATTTTAAAGAATGATTTTCAAACTCGCAGAGCAGTAAGTCGAACCAGATTAACCTGGGAATATCCATTTTATAAAAAATCCTGCGTATAGTTTAGGAGATAGTAGTGTTTACAGACAATTGGACAGACGGACGAACAGATGGACAGCTTGACGGACAGACGGGTGGACGGACAACGGACGGACAGATGGAAACGGAGGATAGACGGACGAACGGACAGACAGGAGGACGGACGCACAGTCGGACAAACACAGTCAGACGGACACAGAAAAAAGAAAAAAACGATCCTGAAATTTATCATCTTATCAGGACACAAAGCACTTATCAGAGGCGATATAATATTGCGACAATTGAGAATCTAGAATCGTAATTCTGGCGGCGGCGTTTACCGAATTTCCTACGCTCCGTGAAGTTACGAAAGTTAAGCAAATTGATTCACCACGAATTGCTGGTGATCTGACAGTATGGGAACACCAGTTCCTAACGGCACCAAAAGGATAAAAGGCACTGACTGCGAAAAAAATACTTTTTTATAATAAAAAACACACAAAAATAGAGCAATATGGCGTTTATGTCATCTTATAGAGTACATTGAGCGTTATCGATACCAAAAGTTTAAAGAAAAATGGCCGTTTTCGAGAAAAAAAAAGTATTTTTATATTGCACATTTTTTCCGCAATATTTGCGCGAAAAGTACTAAATTTTTTTAAAAAACAAATCACCTCACTCACTTCAATTTGAAAATAAACCGAAAAAATCCAAACTTTTGAAAATTTCGAATCTGCACAATAAACAGTGAAAACTGACTTCAGCCAACTTCATAAGTGTATTTTACTATATTCTTTCAAAAAAATTAAAGAAAAAATGGAGCCATTTTTCAGAAAATTTAGAAAATACTCTTGAGGTTTCATATAAAGTCCTCCCCCCCCCGATTTTAAAGAATGTTTTTCAAAATCGCAAAGCTTCGAGTCGAGGGAGATCGACCTGAGAATATCCATTTTGGGAAGAATTCTACGTATGGTTTGGACGCTAGTAATGTTCACAGGTGGACGGGCAGACAGACGTTTTGCCGTTAATCGATTTTTCGGAATCAAGGAACAAAACATGAATTCTGGATACACCACGTGTTAGAAGACTTTTTTCTAAATTTAACAACTGCAACTGTTCACTTTTTCTTTATCAGGGCCGGCAATGAGAGTTTTCTGCCAAAAATTCACCGTTTTTTTAATTAATTAATTAATTTATTTATTTATTTTGCACATTACATAAAGTTTTCTCTACTGTGAAAGCGGTAACAAGAAAGTAAAAACTGTATTTCATTAGCAACCATTGTCTAAAACTAGATTTACAGGGTACTTGAGAAGTATACTAGCTGTGAAGGAAAATAATCTTATTACCATACTCGTGTACTGTTGATATATAATGTAATGAATTACTAAACATTTTTTCTAAACTACTTAGTTTCCTTAGCCATGTACAGTTACTGTAGCTCCAGCTGAAATTGATTGAACAAAAGATTTAAATTTATGAAATTTTAATGACTAAATGGAGATGATTTCATAAATACTTGCAAATACTACCCACTTACTTCATCTTCTCCTTGCATACTGAAAGGAGAAAAAAACAAAGAATTTAGTAAATTCAGTTGACCCTCTTTCTTAAAAATAAAATAAGAACCTTATCCTTTATTTTCAACAACATTTATTTTATTACTTCTGAGTGTCAATTAAGCACTTAAAAAGCGTACAGATTGAAATAAACACAGTGTTTATAAATTTCTTGTGAAAACCATATGGAGAAATATTGAAACTGTAATACACAAATCATGAAATGAAGGAAATTATTTTGAATTCTCAGAGTAATTCACTGTATGCAATGCATTCACTACATTGCAATCTGTTACTTGTAAGCCAATGCTTACATAAAAATTATATCTAGTTCTGTGAAATATTGATTCGAATTATGAGTGTGGAACCTGACAGTACATCAATACTCTTAGGACCATGACCTCAAGTCATTCCTAGAAACTGTGTAGAGTTAAATACCCTAAAAATCAAATTGGAGTTATGTTATTAAAGAAAATATGATTTTTGAGACCAAAGTGAAGTGTCAGTGTATAAAGTAAAAATTTAAAGTTACTTTGGCCTACATGCTAAAATGTTTTTTAGAGTCTTGTCACATCTACAATAAATTAAAAAGAAAATTTTAGTTACAGCTTTTCTTATTGTGTGTATATGCTCCATTGTTTTTTGGTCAGTTGAACTCTGCCTCTGATTTCTGGAGGTGATTGATTAGCCTCCTTAAGTGATGCACTGTCTTTTCACAAAAGACTGTTAACTGAGGTCCTTATCTCTCCAACTAATGGAGGTGGAAGGTGCAGAGTGGGGATAAATGACAACAACAGACCTTATATGCTTCACTATTGTCTGAGAGCAGAGATTGAGGGAATGATCTGTAGAAATACTAGTGCATACTTGTTTTTGAATGTTAGTACCAGTCTTTCAATCTAGGAGTACAAGGTAAGTGTAATGAATATTTTTTATTTATA